CTATCTGCACAATGATAGTCGAATCCACACTTCATATCTCGTGAGCTAAATCTAAATAATTTTTTTTATATTTCATAATATTATTATTATAATATTATACATTAAAACCGGCCGGCCAAGAGCAAGAATGATTAAAATATTAATATTATTATAGTATATTATCTGTTCGGCTCCTATTTTTTTTATTTTTTTTTCTGTTTTTTTTTTATTTTCATAGAAATGTAGAGAATATTAATAAATAAAACCTCTTTGCAAACTTTAAATCAACGGAATATACATGTAACGTTTATAAAAAGAATAGATGACTGATGTAGTCAAAAAAATGATCCAAAAATACTTCATACTTCTACTTACATGCGTACAATAAAACAGAGAAAATAAATAAAAATAACAATATGACACAATATGAAGCAAGATCTCACTATATTTCGAGAACAAATAGTTAATTATTTATCACTCAGTTTGCGATTCACACAACCGCTACGCACCGGTCGTGCTCACACTATGGGCGATATTTGCGCATCATATTATCTGCTACTGATCATATGGAACGACCATGAATAACTTATTAATGCCAAGGCACTGGATACCGACCGGCCTCCTCAATCCGACCAGCAAAACTATGTAACTAGAGAATTGTATTGTGAACCTGATTGAAAAAGAGTAACATATGGAGTTTCTTCGTTCTTCTCCATAGGAATCTACACCTTGTAATGAGCAAAGCTATTCACTTAAAATTTTTTTGTTGATGTTCGAAAGTGCCTTTCTGGTCTAATTGAAATAAATGATTTTGACTTTGAACATTTTTGCCGAACCAAACCAAATGTGAATACGAAAGAAACATAGGTAATCCATTAAAAAGCATCTTAATTTTTACGGTGGTCACTTGAGATAGGTACTTAGGAACTAGCCTCATAATTTTTTAAGCTTGCACTAATTCCATGTTTTGCATAGGTTTATTGATAAGTTAATTTCGGACGGAATGAGGAGCCCTACAACACAACAACTTATCAAACACTGAACAGAGGCAGATGCAATCATCTGCCTCTGTTAACTTTTACCAATGTAAAAGTTATGTAAATATTAAACTTTTACACCTACTATTGTGTCTCTTTGCATCACCCTAAGGTTGACTGTTAGAGAATGCCACTAGGCATTAAGTCTGCCATTGTATACCCATTTTGCAAGAAGTGAAAATAAATAAATAAAAGGAATTTTAAGATTTATGAATGATGCTAATTTTCTGTAACGCATAACGTTTTGTGATTAGTTTTTTATTGTTAAATCTCTACTTATATTAATAGACCTGTATTAGACCTATGCTAACTATAATGGATTCTTTATAATTCACGTTTCAACTTGACCATATTTTTGGTCGATTTCCGATTCATTGACAAAGACTTTCTGGTAAGTAGTAAACATTTGTATTTTATGTTTATTACATGATTGTATGATTACCGTATTGTTACGATTTTATAAGTATAGTATTGAAGAAAGTAATTAAAAATATGGTACATACCTATAAATTTCGTTTTAGACGTTTTATTAACCGAATATACGTTTGGTCGAATACTGGATACGATTCGTTTTCCTGTCCCTGTTTTAGTCTAACACTGTTTAAAATTTCATGACTTGTTTATCTCCGGTAGATCATAATTTTGAATGACAAAAATCTAAATAGATAGGTGCTCATACTTAATACCTACGACTCATAATAAATGTTCCCAAAATAACTTCGAATTTATTAACCTACAACCTACAAGTAGTTTAGTAAGTAGGTACACCCGGCCACACATCAACCTACACAAAACCAGTTTATCCTGGTATCGCGTCGCATCATCTTTCCGCACATTTAACGTTCAGTTTATACTGGTTATGTAAAGCTCGATGTGTAGCCGTGTGTACATATGTTAGGAACACACAAATGTTTAGTTACGAATATATCTATTCATATAACTTCAATACTAGGTAGGTAATAGTTACTCGATCATGATCGCATTAATATAGTATATAATACCCAACTTTTTTTGATTAGGTAGGTATATAACAAATTAAGATTGATATGATGCATGATCTCATGGTTAGGTACATCATCGCTTACCATCAGGCGAGATAGTGGCCAAACATCGGCCCATCAAATAGGTATATAAAAAATAAGGAAGACATCTAAAGAAAACATTTGATCACCTGAGGGTAAGCAATAAGCGTCGCCCATAGACACCTGGAACACCAGGGACTTACAAATACATTACCGGCCTTTTGGGTATTAGTAATTTGAGGATAGTTAGGGATATTATTTGAGGATAGTTAGATAAGATGAAATTTGGAACCGGGATACACCGTGGTCTGGAAAAATACTTCAGGATACTTTATCGGGTATAAAGTCAAGCCAAGCCGCTGACAAAGGCCAGTACAATAATAAGTAAATATAACTTCAAGTTTACGTAGAAGTAACACAAGAATTAATGAGGTATTCAAGTACAAATTAAGTAATTAATATTCATCTTGCCCTAGAAATCGTTTACACACCAATTGTGTATGATTTCTATACCTACCAATGTTATAAAGAGGAAACATTTTTTATGTTAACTATCGTGAGACATACTAAATTTACTATCGCGCAGGCCGCCGCCGCGACCGCACACGCTGAGTGCTCATGAGGAAGAGCCCTTCTGTGGCTCGAAACTAGTAGAGCTTTTTTCAGAATTTTCAAGTGAGTAACCCGGGATTTTAGTTAACTATGACGAAATACAGAAATTATCGGACCGATTTGAAAAATTCTTTTACCACTGGAATCCTACATTATCCCTGATCATAATGTTGTTGTTCATAACGTTGTATATCTACAAAAAGTGTAAATAAATAAAAAAAAATAAATAAATAAGAGAAAAAAAGAGAACCGTGTGATTTCGATAATGTAACCCGATGTGTGAAAAAGCTACCAAAAAAACTCCTTATATTGCTTCCGCTGTGGAAATTATTGATAATAGAGCAAAGTGATGTAGTAGAGTCTTATAAGACATTCATATCAACGTAAAAGTCTACGATGTCATATGTCTAACTATTATTGTTATGCCATAATTATCATGTAAAACATCGCGTCAGGTACCGCTCCGGTACAATCCAGGCCTTATTTATATTTATATTAGTAGCAGAGTAGTATCCCGGAAATTCCATTATAACGGGAACTATGTGTTACATCCCGTATCAAAACTCTCTATATCTTAAACTACTAAACCAATTTGAGTAAAATTTAGTACGATAGTTTAAAGCCGGAGAAAGGGCATAGAACAGTTTTTATTATTGAAATCTTACGGATCGGATACTATACGGGTCAAACCCTCAAGCACCACGACTAACAATACCGACACGACAGATGCGACCGACACGACAGATACGACAGATGCGACCGACACGACAGATACGACCGACACGACAGATACGACAGATACGACAAATACGACAGATACGACCGACACGACAGATACGAAAGATACGACCGACACGACCGACACGACAGATACGACCGACACGACAGATGCGACAGATGCGATAGATACGACCGACACGACAGATACGACCGACACGATAAATGCGACCGACACGACAGATGCGACCGACACGACAGATACGACAGATGCGACCGACACGGCAGATACGACAGATACGACGGACACGACAGATACGACAGATACGACCGACACGACCGACACGACAGATACGACCGACACGACAGATACGACAGATGCGACCGACACGACAGATACGACCGACTCGACGCCGACACAACGTCACACGCTGTCACAGAATGCTTAATAGAAATACAATTTATAGGCAATATTATCTCAATACGAAACCTTTAGCATAACGTATATTTCAATGACTCGGTCTTAGGGTTTTTTGTTCATTTACCTTATTCAGAGCCGTTCATCTATTTTTTACTTCGTTTTCGTTCATGCAACATTGTTTTTTTTTTCTTTGTTTAGATTCATTACTTATACTCATATTCAAACATTTTTGGTAGTTTATTACTTTATTTGTGACAATTATAATACTCCAGAATCATGTAATACCAAGACTTATACACTGCAGCAGTCGCGGAGAACCTAACGGGTAACCGGGGCTCCGGCTCGACGTGTAGGAGAAGGAACGGGGTGGTTTTTAGTCAGTAAGAGTCTGACACTCCCTCCCGCCTCACCCAGGTGGGAGCAGTCATTCGATGATTTTCCCCCCTTAAAAAAAAACATTGTAACAGCGCTATCTTGGAAGAGCAAAAATGTAAGCATTTTTACATAATAATAGATGCATAGTGACAGTTCTATCTTGATACTGTTTTATGCTATGTTTACCCACATAATTATAATATACTACCAGTCATCCTTCATTGCTTTATTCTTGATGATAGAGTTACTTTGTAATGTTATTTTTATTTTTAATAAGTGAGCGAGGAACTTTGTTAATGGTCATGCTAAAAGTATTATTTAGAGTTTTATTTTTATTTCGTACAATCAAAAACTTTCATTTCTGAAGCATTGACCTTGAAGAAGTCCAATTTCAAAAGAATACAAGTCTAAATTATGTTTATTTCTTGGTACATCCAGAGTAAGAGGGGATGATAAAGGGATTATTATCATAACAATTTACTTTATAGAGAAAATGACTTTATAAAGAGTCGTGGTGGCCCGGAGGTTTAAGACTCCCGCTTCTCATTCATGAGGGCAATCTATAAACCGAAACCTATAAACGGCAAGTACCAATGTGACTTTTACCGATTTATATGTACTTCCTAAGATTATTTAGACAACACTGAACAACGAAGGAAATTGTCGTGGGAAACCTGGGCTTACAATTTCGAATTGAAAGTTTGAAATCGCCAACCCGCATTGATCAAGAGTTGTGATTAATGCTCAAACCTTCTCTGTGTGAGTGTTGTTACTCAGCAGTGGACATTTGTAGGCTGTTGATGTATGTTATAGAGAAAACTAGTGTAATTTCTTTTTTATTAACTTTAATACAAAATCTTATTCTCTAGGCAAGTCTAGCACCATTTCTTTTAGTTTCTGCCTGTTGATTTTAGACGTGCTGGTCGTTGGCAGTTCCTTCAAGAAGATCACACCTCCTCTCAGCTGCTTCGAGTCAGTTAGCGAATCTGGAAATAAAAATACAGTTCACTCCTCTGACGCAACATGTTATACATAGTTTCAGTTAGTCTCCAAAACTGATGAAGTTTAATAATAACTTTTCTTTTTAATTACCAGGTAGCCGATTTGTTTAAAATTTTTCATAAACTAAGTTACCAGTCGAGTAGTTTTTATTCATGAAACTGCTCGGTGAAGGTCGATGTTATATCGGATCTTAGACCAAGAACATCACCGTATCACCATGTAAATAATAAAGCACAGATTAGTAGGTACATTAATAGTACACAATAGATATGAATAGATTAACCTTCACTGACTTGTTTCAATAACAAAACAACATTTTTTACGTTGTTCTTGAATAGACTCAATGTTGACAATAGCCAATATCAGGAGTGGTTAATCTACTAATATATATCTAGACTATCTATACTAATATTATAAAGAGGAAAAAATTGTACCTATTTTTGTACATTTGTAATGAATAGGCCCAAAAAGTACTGGGCCGATTTAAAAAATTCTTTCACCAATAGAATGCTACATTCTTCCAATTTGACATCTAGGCTACATTTCATTTTGAATGAAATTAGGGATCATTGGTAAAATTTGAACAATGTAACCAAAGGTGTAGAAAAATGAGTCTTAAAATGTTTTCCGTCGAATGCGCTGCCGAAACTATTAGCGATAGAACAAAATAATGTACAACAATATTGAAGAACATCATAATGTCTACAAAAAACTCCGCGGTAGCATATGTCCAACTATTGTAGTTATGTCACTACAACAATCCAAAGGAGAATGGCAGGTTTGTATGGAGGTTTGGTACCGCTATAAAATTTTGTATTTGTCATTGTTTTAACCAAGTGAATGGTCTGAACGATAGATATTTTTATTATGAAGTTTAGAAAAAAATTACATATTTTTAGAACTTCGGGTTCAAAAGTTATTTCACTTTGAAAATGTGCAGAAGGTACGTAAAGGCGGTATTACACTTGCCATTGCGTATTCGCTTCATTTGTACAAATATTTGTGAACTACGTACAAATGGCGTCCAAATAGTATCTATAAATGTAAAAGCGTGCAAATATACGTATATAGCAAATGAAGACGAATAAACCCTCCACACATGGTCTGTTTTGGCCGTACACAACAAATACGCAATGTCAAGTATAATGCCACCTTTACGCAAAAGTACATAATATGACAAATGACAGATGACAGTTAATTGAAAAATGTCAATGTTGACTTATTTTTTATTTGGTTGTTTTGTTTACAAACTAAACTCTAAACACTGCTCGCTACTCGTGACTGTTACACTTTGTATTATGAGTAAATTAATTAACTGTTAATTCAGCAAGTATGCTGTAACTATAGAGTTTTACAGAGTATGCTTTACAATCTCTTTCATTTACTAGGTGCCTACGAAAATGCAAATTAATATTGTGAGCGACTGTCATTGGGTAGAAGGCCTACATTTAGCAGTGGACGTCTTTTGGCGGATATGATAAAACTAATGTCTCACTTCACCTTGAATCTTGCGGGCAGATGCAAGATTTAATGTGTAAAATCAAGATTCGAGGCAGAGGCCTGATATACAAATAGTCTTTAAGTTAATTCGATTTAAACTTAAGCGTAGCTCTTTGAGAAAGTATTTCTTCTGAAAACTGGTTGCTTAGCAAGCGTTTTAAGGTTTAATTTCTAATAAGTAAGTCAAATAAGTAAAATCATCATCAGTTTCATCATTAAGTCTATAAGTGGCCCATGCCGACCGAAGGTCTCTTCTCACTGGATTAGGTTTAAGCATTAACTCGTTGAGTACCGTAATTATAGACACAATTAAAGAACAATAGGTTGTGGTCATCGGTGACCGCTCTGTGTTTGACAGTTTAATCAGTACGCTAGCTTAATGTGGGTTGGTGATTTCAAACTTATAATTAGAAATTATAAGCCCAGGTTTCCTCACAATGTTTTCCTTCACCGTTTGTCAGTGGTGTCTTTGTACTTTCTTAGATTATTAAATAATAAATAAAAAATATATATACATAACTCGAAAAAGTCACATTGGTACTTTGCCGTTGCAACTTGCACTCTCATGCATGAGAAACGGGCTTCTTAAACCTCCTGGCCACCACAACACAAGTAAAGAAATGTAAAATGAAAATGAACATTTTTGGTATAAAACTAAAGCAATCTAAAATAAAGATGGCATTTATTTTATAGATTGTTTATATATAGTTACTAGGTACCTGTTTAAAATAAAACAAATGTATTATTTTGAAATACTTTTATTTCATTGTATTTAGGTTGTTTCTAGGAGTACTTCTTCTAAAAAGAGAGCAGGCGGTGTCATACAGCACACACTTCATTAATTGCTGATATCTGTAAACAAGTAAGATAACTGTAAATAAAGTAAACAAAACAACATTTTTTCCATTAGTTTCACATGTTATAATTCTGATTCCCTATCTCAAAATAGAAAAGATAAAAATAAATATTTGATTACATTATTTGATTTTACAATGTTAAAATGCCTTTAACTCGTCGAGTACCATCATTATAGACACAATTATAGAACAATAGGTTGCGGTCACCGGTGACCGCTTGGTGTTTGACAGTTTAATAGGGTATTCCTATAACACACATCATAGGAGCTCAAACAGCATGCTAATTAATCAATTATTATAATTATAACATGTGTATAAACCTATTATAAACCGGTTATACACTTCACATACCTATTGAAGCTCTGACAGCCGATCAACATCTTCTGGCCTCATCTGTTCTACAAACGGCAATGTTAAAGTGAGGCTTAGTCCATTGTGTATGTGAACTTGTATGTTTGTAAACGCACCCACGACACAGGAGAAAATCCTAGTGTGGGGCAACGTTTTTTTTTTTTTTTTTTTTTTAAATGTTTACATAACACATTACATCCTGATAGTGAACACTATGAGGTGGTATGTCAGGTTGTGGTCTTATAGATCCGACTCTTGTTAAGGCTCTCAGCCAGCATGGAACACGATCTTCATCATTGGAAGTAAGCTAAAAAAAGTAATATTATTAGAATGTCATATTGACTTTAAATTATATGATAATAGTATATGGTTAATACAATAAATTATTACCTTTCGTGGCTGAATCCAATCAGATACTATATGAGCTAGTCTTTGCTCCTGTTCGTTGGCGCCTTCAATTAAACCCCTGCGTCACCTTATCCTTGCAATGGAATGCCCACATACGACACAGACATGTCAATGATCAGTTTGTTTGCTGGACATACTTTCAGGAACATCCCAATACATTGCTAATTGCCAGCAAGCATGGCAAATATGGTCGGTAGGAGAGATCTAGAATAAAATGATACATTATAGGTAGATAACACTATGCCCCCTTTATTTAGGCAACAAGGTGACTTTCGATACGTCATGTGTAATTATAGGTAAGTACCTACTTACATCTCTAGGATAAGTCCACAATGGGATATTGTTGACCACGTCTAGTCTTCACTCTCATTTCCTAGAGCATGCCGTCTCATGCGACAAACTCTGGTTGTAATTAATGCACTGTAAATTCGTCATCGCGACAAAATACAACACACTATGCACAAATGAAAATAAGTGTATTTTCGCAATTTCGGCTACGGAGGAACGGCTGCCCAACTCAAAGTATCACCAGATGAATAAAATGACTTCCAATTTGTACAAACACATCATAACACCGCATTCGAAACCAACAGCAAGGCGCACTTGACATTGACAAATCGTCTTCAACAACAAATGTCAAATACCAGTTCAACATTGCCATATTCAAGTTTGTGAAAATGTTAATTATCGTTAATAATCCATGTAGACCTCACAAAATGAAATTAAAATAATGATATTTACTTATAAAAAATGTTTGAAATGGAAAGGAAAATATTCCATTGATATTAAAATAAATGAGTTTATGAAATAGCGACATTCAAAATACTCTGATTTCATGTTTACGCATGGCAACTTTATAAACGTCAATCGCGGTTTGTTTTTATTTAATATGTAGCCGTTTTGTTGATTGCTTCTTATCATTATTGAATATGAGATTTTCTAGGGCTTCCCAAGTTCTAAAAATCTATTATAATATGCTAACATAACGTATTTAGAGGATTCTATAGCTACCCAATTGCCCAAGGCAAAACAATGACAAATCTTTTTTTAGCAAAGCGGTACGAAATCTGCCGTTCTCCTTTCCAAAAATAAATAATTGTCTACCCGTACGAAGCCGGGACGGGCTGCTAGTTACTAATATTATAAATGCTTCGTTGGCAGAGTGGTCGTAAGTACTGGAGAAGGGGTCTCGGGTTCGATTCCCTGGTTGGACAAGTATTTCTGGGTTTTTAAAAATTCTCGAAAGTAACACGGAGTCTGGAATTGTGCCCCGATTACATGGGGCTGATATCATAAACAGTGAAAAGTGGGTGTTACATTGTACAGTGGTATTAAGTGCCGTAATATGCACCTTTACCTACCCCTGAATTACTGCAGGAGACAGAATGAATTAAGCCTAAAGGCACAAAAAGAGACTGTACAACTGGGTGAAGCCCAGTCGCCAAGCACCACGGAGACTAAAAATTAACTAGGTTCTATGTGTGAGGTGTTATATTTGCTTCCAATAATAGGTATGGCAAAAGCGCCTAAACGCACGGTGGGTTCTAGATTCCACAAGATCCGTAAAATACTATTATACCTTTGACCAGGTCCTTGATCTCCTGCGCTGTGGGGCTGTAGCCAGGCTTGGGTACAACGCACGCCACTACCAGGTCCCCGCACTCCTTGTCTGGTATACCTGTCACTGCTACTTGGAATACTTCAGGGTGCTTCATTATTACTGATTCCACTTCAGATGGAGATACCTTAAAAAAGTAAAAAAAAAATTAGAACAATGATTTGTACTTCATCGATGGATCATGTAGTCGATAGATTAGTCCATTCCCTATGACGTCCCGTCGGACGTAATGACATAACATAACATCACGCCTTTTAACCCTGATGGGGTAGGCAGAAATGTACATCACGGCACTTAATGCCACTGTATTGTGTAACACCCACTTTTCACTATTTATGTTATGAGTCTCATGTAATAGGGGGTGAATGTATTGCCATATACTGGGCATATTTCCGGACTCCGTGCTACTACTGAGATTTTGTTTAAGAACCCAGTAATACTTTGCCCGACCCGGGAATTGAACCCGAGACACCTTACCCAACAGTCACACTCGCGACCACTCGCCCAACGAGGCAGTCCGACGTAGAAGAATTATACTTAAATTTACAACTGGTTTTGTATATTCCCTTATGACTATTAGGGAAAGTAATGCAGGTACATTTTGACCCACTGTATCCCTTTAAATACCAACCTGATGGACTAAAATTGCGGGTTACCTACTCACGTGAATATACTGAGAAAAGCTCTACTAGTTTCACAACACCGATGCGAGCGCCAACGCCAGCCAGTGAGTTGCGCGACGTCGCCACGGCCGCGCACGCTGCTCATGAGAAAGAGCCCCTCTGTAGTTCGAAACTAGTAGAGCTTTTCTCAGTATATTTACGTGAGTAACCCGCGATTTTAGTTAATTTAGTATGTTTTACTAGAGGTATAGTTATTATAACACCAACCTGATGGTTTCTATACTTCAACAGCAGTTTGTATCGTTCCACAAAGAATAGGTTCCATGCTTCATCTCTGTACAAAATGTCACCAGATTTGAGCCAACCATCTTCTGTCAGCGTCTCTTTTGTCATCTTCTCGTTGTTGTAGTAACCCTGAGAAATTGGTAACAGATTTATATAGCAAGACTGGAGTGAAGTCAAATTTTTAACTGCTTGTATCGATGATGATGGGGTACGAAAATAAAAAAAATAATTAGTCCGTTAGTTAGATGATGAAAAACTATTAGACAGGATTATTTTTTTAAATAAGTACATAACATAACATCACGCCTTTTATCCCGAAGGGGTAGGCAGAGGTGCACATTATGCCACTGTACAATGTAACACCCACTAAAGGTTCGATAATACTCTACCCAGTGCCTTTTGCCAAACGCCACTTTAGCGCTTGTCTACAGAGAAAGTAGAAAACTAAATGTATGGGGATGACACTGACAAGTGTCAAAATTTACGTCAATTCCATATAATTTGGTTTTCTATTCTTCATGTAGACAAGCGCTAAATGGCATTTGGATACAGCTGCAGATGAGAAGCCAACTGTCAATTGTCAAGTAAAATATGTGTTA